TGAGCAAACCATGCTGAGATATACCTGAGTATGAACCACCAAAAACCACCCATTTCGGATTCACATAATTGGACTTTTTATTGATGTAACGTATGAAATAAGCCGCATCCTCGATCGCTTGTTTACTACTGAGATATTTTAAGTTCTTGGTAGCTAGATCCCTGAAAACCATTTTCGAATCTTAGAATGATCATTCAGTCTTTAGCATTGTTCTTTAGTTGCGTTCGGCGGGACCATCTAAGATCAATGGATTATCTATATCTAAACATGCGATTGTTGTGCCATAGCTCATTTTCAAAATCCAATCGCTTATGCTCTTCATGCCCACTTCATACATACAAAACCAATTATGAAACGAGAAACCCACCCTTTCTCGTAGCCCCATATTTAAATCAGTTCGAGGTAAACGACACGGAAAATTGCTGATTGCTTTGCACTAAAAAAGTTTTTTTGCGTCCTCTCGGTGTCTCGAAGAGTACGAAAACGCAAATTCGCTGTGTTCTGTTCCGATCAATTGCTAACAAGATAGTATAAATCAAATGACACTTACGGAAGCGGTCTGCTTTCGCCGTAGAAACGATGTTCAAGGTCGAACAAGGCTGCATTATGTTTCTTCGCCCAAATCACCCAAGGCAACTTTTCATAACTGACCCAAACCGGAATTTCAGGAGCCTCACCGCCAAGCATCAGAAAAACAGGACCATTTGGTTTGTGGTATTTCATGTTAGAAAAGTAGCGCTGAAAAGGAAAAAATGCTGTGCATTTCGGCATCAAACTTCATTCGCCTTTCTTTCGTTTGGCTTACTATTTCAAACACAAAAATTTGTTACATCATAAACTTCTCTTCCATGAGTCTTTTCAGCAAGCTTTATCTATCACTGCATCAAAACAAAGCGATTAGGCGGAAAAACTTCCGAAAAGCTCATTTTTTCGCATTGTCACGTTGTGTCGTTCAGGTTTCGCTTTAGTTTAGATATACATTTCAAAAAATTCATAACAACTGGGCTCGAGGAATCAATGAGATCACTTCGATCGTCAGTTTACGCTATCATTCAGAATAATTTCCCATTGGTGGCGATAAAGAAATTCGGTATATCGACAGCAGACAAAATTGATGTATCTACCTGTTTCCATTTACGCGTATCAGACGGGGTAAAATGGTCCAAAAGTTGTTCAATTCTGGCGGTTGAATAGTTAAGCTGAGCACGAATGTGTGGCTGAAATTTAATCGTGACCACTCAACAGAACTTTTTTCCCAACGCTTTTTTGCAGGGAGAGAGAGTAAGGTCAAGAATGTTGACTGCCAATTTCTTACGTCTGGTATGCCGACAATGAATGCCCGAAAGAACATACGACTTAAACGTCTGAAAGTTCGGTCAGAATGCGTGCTCATTTCAGCGAGTTTGAGAATCGTTCAGAGCGGATTCGTGGTGAGAAGGTACGGGTAGTTTTCCGTTTGTGGAGGGGACCTATTAGGTGGATGCAAACTTTTTATATTTTTGATACATTGATAACGGAAGAATTTTCAAACGATTTCTGATATATAATGCAAATGTGTACTTTATCCGCTAATGGATCGCGTTTAAATCCGTCACGAGGTCTGCCCATGAAGAAATCAAGTATGCGCGTTCGTGAGTTCTTCGCCAGTGCGACGTCCTGAAGTTGACAGTTTCTATTTGTTGAACACTTTCTGAATTATTTTAAGCTCAATAAATTACTTGAGATGAACGAAACCTGTACGGAAAGTTCACTAAGGGGTAAACAAATTGTAGTGGTCGAGAGCAACTTGATTTTGGAACGTTATAACCAGACTGATATTATTGAATAGATGGGTATCGGTGACACAGGACGAAACATTTCACCTACCGAAACGAAAAGCAAGGTTAAAGCCGTCCAAAAAATGACGCCCTTCATCTCGTATCCTGTAAGAAAATCGCTAACTGATGAAAACTGAATATAACGAGTGAGATCGAGATTGCACAATGAAAGGTATATGGAAATAGTGATGATCTAAGTGACTATAATGGTAATCTAAGCAAATGTAAGCAAACTTCATTTATATCTGCGAACACTCCGCTCTCGCTTCAGAGCACAACTTAATACCGAAGGAATATTCGGTGCTGGTTATTCGTCTGTCATCTAAACAGCTTTTAATAATTTTTGAAAAATTTTCCTAGCCGGTCGTCACTAACCAGCACCGTTGCGTTCACTACAATTGCATTATTTTTTGAAACGGTTGCTGACATGAAACAATCTTGATTGTCTTGCTCCTTATCAATGTCATAAGCCGGCTTAAAACGAAACTGAGAATCAGTGCCGATAAAAATCTTATCTGTTGAGTGTTTTCTGATCACTTGTTCACTTTCTGAAGCGCTTAAGAGAATGTCGAGATTAGTCTCTGTACGCCCACTGTAGTGAGAAAATGTGACTTGTGGTTCATGTCCTGATGCTATTTATATTTTAAAAAATTTCCATCCCTCTAGAAATAGTTAGGCGAACCAATTGCACCTTCAGAGCCAGATGAATTCCGTAAACTATGTTCATTAATCGCTAAGTCACGATCAAGTTCGTCGATACATTCTTATCGGTGCATAGCATTTGATTAATATCAACGGAATCCCGCGAGATTAAACCGACTATTCACGAACCCACTGCCAACACATTCCATTTCCCATGAATACATCCAAATCGCATGTGATATAGTTTCATCATACATTCCTTTCAAATTTTGCCTTTCTCTCACTCGCCTTTCTGACATTTTATACTGATTCTGAGAGTTGAATCTGGCCGAGTAAGCAACATATTTTAGAGAAATTATCTCACCTCCACTAACCACCATCATTCGATTCGCTACAGGTATAATATTCTTTAAACTACTACTGAAATGAACGAATCATGGATATCATCCTCCTTATCAATGCTACAAGCTGGACTAAAATGAAACTGAAAAAGAATGCTGTGCTCTTCTTATCTGATGAGCGTTTTCTGATCACTTACTTAGTCAGAACTGCTGATTTGTGATTGATGCCGGGATGCTGATTAAAGTTGCAAAAAAGTATCATGCTTTCGAAAATGTTCAGACGAACCAAATGCACCTTTACGGCCAGTTGAACTCTGAGCAACTGCGTTTACGATAGCTAAGTCATCATTCTGTTCATCGATATGTTCTTGTCAGTGCATAGCGTTCATTCAACAGAATGCAGAAAGATAAAACAAAGATTCACGAATCCACTGCCAACACATTCCATTTCCCATGAATACATCTAAATTGCGAGTAATATGATTTCATTAACCATTCATTTCAAATTTTGCTTTTTTCTCACTCACCTTTCTGACATTTTATACTGGTTTTGAGAGTTGAATCTGGCCAAGTAAGCAATATATTTTGGAAAAACTACAACTTCGATCTTCGATGTATCAGAAGCATTTTTTTTTCGGCCTCATAGTCAGTCTACGTGCAACAGTTTATGTGCAAATAAGAATATGTCCTTATAATTAGGAACCGCCTATCGACATCAGAGTACAGATGAACGTTGAATTGTTGATTTGAAAGGAATTGATGAGAAGGTTTATCACGTCGAAGCGTTGCGAAAAAATCACGTTGCAATCCATGCAGGTTATCAGTCTCATAAGTTTAGGTACATTTTATTTACGATTCAGCAGACAAGTACTGCTTAAACAGTGTGTACAAATCAAACTAAACTACGTTTTTATGATTTGCTGAGGAAAGTGCATGAAGCATCCATGAAAAGCAGCGTACTATCGACAACAACGAACCATCAGTTGAACGCCATGAGAAGTATTGCAGCCAATTTCTGATGTACTTTGATTCTTTGTAATGAAAATTTTATGATGGAGTTTTCGAGATTGTCATCACATCATACATAACGACTCAGAATCGATAGCTCACCTGCAAAGAGCACCACTGGTTTAAGAAGGCACACATCGTCTCTGATAAAGAATTTCGCTCTTCCACTTCTGTGCAATAGCTTTGCTTTGAACAATATTATATTAATTCAATCGAACTTTTTAATTCACTGTCACAAAAAAGAGACTAATACCTCATGTCCGAGTACCAATCTCGATATTCTTCACACCGTTGCGTGTCCCTACCTGTTCCCGTTGCCAAATTTCTCGCGGCGACGACATTTTTGGTATACCCAGTTAAAAATTCAGTCCTTGACATTCTCCGCCCATCGAATTTATGAATTTGTCAACCATTCTCGCTTTGGTGCACATTTCTCAAAACCAACTTCAAAATCAAACAAAAATGATCAGAATTTCATAAGCAGTGATCGTAGAGCCATATTTCCGCACTAAACGATCATTTCACTCTGGTGATCGTAGTGATTAACACAATTTTCAAGTAACTGAGAAATGTGGTTATGGTCTCATCGCGAGTTCGAGGTCAAAAGAGCGCATTAGATGGAGTTTTTTTTTGACAAGACAACAAGGACATGCTGCAGTTAAGGAAATGCATTATTTGACTGCACCGTGCTTTTAAAAGATGATTTTAACGAATTGGAGCGAAATCGGTGAAATTTTGAAGCAAAAGACGAAATATTGCCGAAATATTGAACGGTTGAAACATCGATATCACTAATATGTCATGTAGTTCTGAAACTGATATCTTTGACAATCAG